CAAATCTAGGCTCTTCCTAATTTAGGTATATCATATTGAAAACCAAAAAAAATGATGCTTTGCACACTACAAATCTAGACTCTTCCTAAAAACACAATTCAACGTGGATTTTCAAAGAAATTTAATAGATTGATTAATACAATTGGGGAAAGAGTTATCAGCTAACTGCATAAACAAATAATAATAACATCAATTTAGAATGAAGACATGTTTATCCATATCTAATATGTATTTCATACTAATTAGCCAAAATACCATATCAAATATGCAATCCTTTTTTCTTAAACAAAAAATAAAATAGCAAATAGCAAAGCTCTACAAACACACCATGGATACTTCTCAGGCTACTTTTTTTTAATCCAAAAATAAAATATATTGCATCAAAAAGGAGGCTACATTCACGATACATTCATAATTCATTTAGGGTTCAATTGTGATGCCAAAGGAGGGTATCTCGTGACATAAAAGTTTATGTTCCTTAACTTGCCTCTCACATTTTAAAGGTTAATCATTGAGACCACTTCTAGCATCCCCATGCTTCAATACTATCTTCTTAATTTCTCTACACCCTCTCATTTTATTATCAACAAAAAATTGTGTTGATCTATCATCTCTTCATCATTTGTAATAAATTTTTCAATAACACTCACCAACACATTTCATTCTCACATAACACTAAAAAATGTATTGCATGATGAATCCATGCATCACTTAATTCTAAAATGAAACAAGCAACAAAAATGTAAAATTAAAAAAGAGAATCAATTAATGTTACAATTGGTTGTCTAAACACCATCACTAGAAATAGGGATGTCAATTTTTGACACGACCCAAAACACGACCCGGAAAAATCCGGGTTCGGGTCAACCCGAACCCGAATCGGGTCGGGTTCGGGTTGAACAAATCAATCCGTTTTAAAAATCGGGTCGGGTTCAGGTTGACCCAGCAACCTGAAATTGACCCGAAAGTGACACAAAAACTCATATTTGACCCGAAAACCCGAGATCGACCCGATTTTGACCCGATTTTGACTCGATTTTGACCCGAAAATTAGCAATTTTAGATCAAATTCGGGTAATTCGTGTCGGGTCGGGTTGACCCGGACCCGAATCGGGTCCGGTTTGGGTCAGGAAACCTGACCCGTTTTTAAAAACGGGTCGGGTTCGGGTTGACCCGAATAGTGCCGGGTCAGTTTCGAGTTCGACCCGAACCCGACCCGCTGACCCGAATTGACACCCCTAACTAGAAACAAAAGAACAAGCAAATGTCAATCAAATAAAGCTTTGAAAGTATGTTTAATGGATCACTTAATGGTACCATAAGGCATACAAACTCTGATTGGGAAAATTTCATTATTGTCTATCCTTGGGTTTCCTTCTTTTTTTTCATTTGCTTCATAATTCACAAATCATTGAAAGCTAGTTTTATTTTTATTTTCTTGTTTTGATTAAAAATAGGAATTAAGAGGAATAATATAGAAGAGCATATTTCTATTCACAATCACAAATCTGAAAACAATTTACAATTTAAAATGATAAAAATACTCCCTACGACCAATGTAGCATTTATTCATAACTTACAACAATTAAGTTGTGATGCCCGGTCAAGAAATATCTCACACAGAGACAAATGCAAATTAAAGATATTTTGGGGATTTCCCATGAAATTTTGGTTATCCTAAATTTTCATTATAAAAGGGGCACTATTATTATGGTTTGAAATGTGATTAATTAAAAACACATAGTTCATGAGGCCATTGAATTTATCTAGTAAAACTTCATCATTATTATCATAATGAAAATTGCACTGATAGAAATAGAAAAAGTCATTCAATCGGGTGAATATGTACAAAACCTTTTGGTAACTTTTGGTGTTGTTTTGCATTTTATTTTCTTCTGTTTCTTTGTTCTTGGTGATTTAAATTAGGCTGTGAAATAATTTCCAATGATATCTTCCAGAAACAATAGACTAAAAGAAAAGGTGTACATACATATGGCCAACTACCCTTGATTATCAATAAGGATCAAAATAAAAAGGCATCCAATGAAAATTAAAACAATAAAAAGAGATCTTTAAAAAGATGCAGATTAGTAGCAAATAAATAAGATTTTTATATCGTCTAAATTGAACATGGATCCAAAATCATTATTATCTTATAAGCCAATCATTAGAAAAGATTCAATTATTAGCTGTAACTTTGCATAAGATCACACATAGCCTCGTGATTAAGTTAAAAATATATATAAGAACACAAATAATTTAGTTATTGAGAAGTGAGACTAAATGAAATTTTACAGAATTGACAGCAAAAAACAACAAACAAGGACAGAAAAAAGCCATCTTGCTAACAAAAATACCAAGCATCGTCATAATTAGCCTTATGTGAACTACTTGGAGTCGGCTGCAAACAATAAAATGAAGCAATCATCGTAACTTAAACAACAACAACAACAAGCCTTAATCTCACTACGTGGGGTCGGCTACATGAATCCTTTTTTCTCCACTGTGTCCTATTAAGGATCAAATTCTCATTTTTATCTAATGAAGAAAAGTCATTTCTAATATTTTCTAACCAAGTTTTTTTAGGTCTACCTCTACCATTCTTAACATAAGCCAAATCTAATATATCTACTCTCCTAACCGGGTCATCAGAAGGCCTCTATTTTATATGACTAAACAATCTAAAACAACTCTCTCTAATCTTATCTTTCACTAGAGCTACTCCAACCTTTTCACGTATATGCTCATTTCATATCCTGTCTCTAAGAGTAACGTCATACATCCCCCTGAGCATCCTCATCTCTGCAACACTTAACCTAATATGTGCTTCTCTTTTAATGGCCAACATTCTACACCATAAAGCATTACAAGTCTCACCACCATCTTATAGAACTTTCCATTAAGTTTGAGGGGGACATTTCAATTACACAATAAGCCCAATGCATTCCTCCACTTCAATTATCCAATTTGAATTCTACTAATAATATTGATACGAATCAAAAAATTATCTTAATAAGGCACGAATCTCGAGGCAAAATCAAGTTGGAAACTTCCAACATTAAAATTGGGACCATCAAAACACCAATTTCAGCAAACTTATAGTCGAATTGAACGTCTCGGAAATACAAACCCAACGACAACAAATTCGACTCAATCCGAGCCCAAATGGGTCTAAATCAAGGGTCTGAAATGCTATTGGATGGGAACCACAATTTGGATTACCAAACGGTTTCCAAACATAACGTGCTTATAGTCGAATCGAGCGGCTCGACGAGACGAATCCAAAGAGCCTAAGATCGTCGAATTCCGACATCACTAAGACCTTTAAATGTCTGACAAATTGTCTACAATCAAGGGATTCAATATCAGCATTCCATCCAATTACTCCCCATTTTCCCTTGATCTCTCACCTACTTACAGGACATGCCACCCCAGAAATTTATAAATAGACTCCTCCTTTCTCTTGAGAGGGGGCTCCCAGCAAGAGAACAAGAGAGAGATCGGAGATCGCTCTTGCCTCCTCGCTTCTCCTCGACCACCACCAGACTTCCGCCGGACCACCGCTTGATGTCATTGCTCCGCCGAACCAGCACATGAGGCCCTCACCTCCGCCGGACCACCGCCTGACGTTGTTGCTCCTTCGGACCATCGTCTGACTGCGTTGCTCCGCCGGACCACTGTCTATCGTCGTTGCTCCGCCGGACCACCACTTGAGGCCTTCACCTCCGCCGGACCACCGCCTTATGTCATTGTTCTGCCGGACCACCACTTGAGGCCCTCACCTCCGCCGGACCACCGCCTTACGTCGTTGCTTCGCCAGACCACCACTTGAGGCCCTCACCTCCGTCGAACCACCGCCTTACGTCGTTACTCCGCCGGACCCCCACTTGAGGCCCTCACCTCCATCAGACTTCTCCCGGACCACCACTTGAGGGCCGGACTTCTCCCGAACCACCACCTGACGCCCGGACTTCTACCGGACCACTGCCTGAGGCCCGGGCCTCTACCAAACCACGACTTGACGCCCAGACTTCTACCGGACCACTACCTGAGGCCCGGACTTCTGTCGGGCCACCACCTGATGCCCAGAGTTCTACCACAGTATTGCCCTACTACAACAGCCTTTCTGTCCCCGATCTCTGGTCAACTATGGTCTTTATGACCCGGTCTCCTGCCTACTACGGTCTTTCTAACATTTATCCTATCAATCATGATCCTGCCGACCAAACAAACATGTCTATATTAATTATTGTAACTCTCACAATGTAATGCGCTCTATATGATCACATTTGTGGCATCAAGCCAAGGACTTCTCCCAAGGAAGGGCCTCATTTGTAATCAACAGCAAATACTAATGGTTCATTTAAACTGGGCCAGGCCCCGTGATTTTTCCCCCTTTTTCAAGGGTTTCCATGTAAAAACTTTGGTGTCTCTTATAAACGCTACACCCTCTATCTAATCTGCTTGTGTGCTGGATCTTCGTACAATGCTAAGGCGTTAAACTATATATTTCTCTACCGCCGCGAATACTCCGGGACGCAACAAATATTCACATCCATTTTACCATCACTCTGAAGAATAGACCCAAGATATTTAAAACGTGTACCCTTATTAATGACTTGATTGCCCAAAGTCACAATCCCCCCACTAGATCTATTACTACTAAAATTGCACTCCATATTTTGGTTTTAAATCTACTCAAACGAAAACATTTAAACTCTAATGTTGACTTTCATAATTTAAGTATACCTTCAACTCCCTCTCTAGTCTTATATCAGTAAAAAGAATGCACTAGGGTACAACCTCTTGCAAATGTCTAGTGAAAACAATCATGACTAAAGCAAAAAGATATGCGCTTAAGGATGATCCTTGATTAATCCAATTGAAATAGGAAATCTCTTGGTCAAACCACCTTGCGTTTGAACGAAAGTAATAGCTCCTGCATACATAATTTAAAATTGAGTAAAAAAATATAACATACACAAACTATTAGTGTATACCTGAATGGGGGTCCCTGTAAGACACCATCTCCTGTCAGCACTTAGAGCTGTAGCAGCGATAGAAACTTGGCTCTTTGATGATTTTATAGTGTGTGCTTCATCTAGCACAATTCTGAACCATTGAACTGAGTAAAGACCACCATTGTCTTCAGCATTCTACAAGAGAATAAGATTTTTTTTTCAAGTGTTGAATACTTTACATGTTAGAATATTTAAGATAGTACATAAAAGTGTTATGTGCGAGTCACCTCAGCTGAGAACTCTGCAGCCAGAACGCCATAGGTAGTCAGAACAACATCACTCTGTGCAAGAAACTTTGCATCTTTTGGTCTGCTAGGTCCATAATGAACATAAAGAGAAAGGGAACCTTGATGGGCGTGTGTCTCAATCTCAGCCTATTACATCATAGGAATGTACCTCTCAACCCTCAATAAATCCATATGAATATTTTTTAAAGTGTAACACAACTCAGGCTTAAAAAACATGGCATAAGCATAGTCGCAGTGCATCAAGCATACCTTCCACTGGCCTAACAGTGTCATAGGACAGACAATTAGATTACCACCTCGAATCAGTATGGATTTTGATTTCAATTTGTTAAAGCCAGAGATGCTTGCTGGTTTTTTTGAACCACTAGAAAACTTATCAATACTGCTACCGATGTTATTATCATCATTAGAGTCCTGAATTGAAGAACAAGTAGGTGATCCCCCTTTGTCAGAGTGAGCAAGCAAAAGAGCTAAGGTCATTATGGTCTTGCCTAATCCCATCGCATCTGCCAAAATCTTCAAACATTTTTCCAAGTCAACATTTCAACAAATTAGAAAATAAAAGAACAATAATTGTGCAGGGAAGGATGCATACTCCTCCTCTTGCAATTTGCTGAGTACTAGGAAATTCTATAGTAGCATTGCCAGAAAAAGCATTCAAGTAAATAACAAGATCCCTCCTATGGATAAGAAAAGCTCAAGTTAATATAGTGAATTTGTGTTTAAAGAAATTTTTTTAATATCTCATACTCATCAGCAAGGCGATATGCATCCCAACATGGATGTAGGGTTCTCGACCCCTTTTCTAAGCATCTTCCTTTCTCAAGCTGCAGCATCCAATGTAGAGCCTGCTTTTGATAAGAACGCAATTCACACAACAATGTTTCAGGTGGATCCATTTCCTAAAAAGTATAAGAATAAGAAAGTTAGTGAATCTGAAGCATAAGATTAACCTAAACCCAGCTACAGCTTGTTAAACCTTAAGTTTGACAAGTGATGGCATCCTAAAAGGTTAAAAATGACACCAATTGGAAGATGCACCTCTAATTCTGAGCTATCCCCAATTCCCACAATATTATTTACATCAGAATCTGATATGCTCGCTTGATTATTTTCAGTTCTACTTCCATGTGAAAGTAACTTCCTAAATTTTTTAGCAGGTGCAGTTGATGAAGGCTCTATTAGGTCGTCCTGCATACACACAAATAATTGGCAACATCTGCAAAAGAATTGAATTACATAAGTATATGAGTTTAGTGTACCTTGGATTCTATGGGTCGTTTTTTACCATATAAATCATCAGGGCTTAACTCAGCCTGCATTTGCAGTCATCAATAGGTGTCAAAAAAAAAAAAGAATAAAAACAGCTCAATAATTAAAAAATATAGTTTTTTTTTCCGGATAGGAGTATTCACAGACTTTATAGGAATAGAACAAAATTTTCCAATTCAGCACACCCAACCCCTGCCAACACCCATCCAAAATCTATCCCAAAATAAATAAATAAACAAAAAAGTCAACCACTTGGTAAACAAAAGAAATTTTCGCACTTGCAGAATGGAACTGATAGCTTGTCAAGCATGTAGAAGTAACAGCAAGCGCAGTAAGGAGCTCATCTTTGGTACAGGATCAAACAAAATAACGAGAAATTTGAGAGAAAGAGGGCAAGTTCAACAATTTCTGCAATATTTTATCTTATTCTGATTAAGACTTCCTCTATAAATAGAATCACTTATTTCTATCATTTTTTTACAAAAAAATACATTAACTTTGATTTCAAGAGATAGTGAGAAAGAGAGATCAACTTCTAGGAATTTTTTATGGAAATAAGAAAATTGATAAGACTTGTTCCAAGACATAATTTCAATGAAATTTCTAGGCTTTAGGGTTTCAAAGATATAAGAATTCAAAAACAAGGTGCCTCAACAAAAGGCTTATTTTTAGGATGAAAAACAATTTCACATGATTTGTTGCCTCACGAAAAACAAATAAAAACAGTAATATAAAAATAAGATAAAAGAATATAACAGGGATTAATAATAATTGCTACTCTTCTTATTACTGACAATGGAAGAAAACTTCTGAAGATAAGAGGCTTGGAATAGCAAAACAAAAATTAAAATTTTAATGGATATAGAATTGATAAGTATCAATCAATATTGTTTGGTGTGATATTGATAAACATCTTGATATATTATACAAAACACTGAGAATATAGATGAAGATAGACATTTTAAATTAAGAAAATGAAGTTAAAATGAATAAGTATCTCAAAAATGTCACGAAAAGGGGAAATCATGTAGATAAGAGTAAATTTATCAAACTACGCTTGATGAGCTTCAATTAAGGCAATAATGATTTGGCTACTAGAAAAGTTAAAGAACGGAAGAAACAAGTGGATATATGTTAAAACTAAAAAACCTACATTAACAAACTCTTATAACAAATAGAAGATAGAGAAAAATAGAATTGGGTGGTCGAGCACATACAAGATTAGAAAGTGGAACAATAAGATGATTAGATTATCATTAATAATTATTATTATGGAAGGATTTGGATAAAAAAAAGGATAGCAAAAGTAGCATGACTAAAAAGTAAATGCAAAAATGCATAAAATGAAGCTAGCACCCCATGCAACATTTTACAAGAATGGATGGAGAATGGGGATTCATAAAGTAAATACCAAGTAGTTTGGAAAAGATTAACAAAAAAATGAAAATAATCATGATATGCTAAAATATATATATCAAACTCATAGATCCCTTATGGGCCAAAATTTTTATAACAAAATACTCATAAGGTGGCAATTGAAGAAATCAAAGCGGGTGTAATAGCTTTTCTCAAGATAGTAGTGTCTTTATGCTTTTTTATTTTTTTTGGGGCTGAGAACTAGGAGTGAAAATGACGAAGGATGAGCAAACCCAATAAGATGGGAAGCAAAATATAAAATGTATATATATACTCAGTTTGTTTTTTATGCTACAAAAAACATTTTAGAGCTAATTTAGTATTTCATACTTTTAGATTTATGTACCTAGAACCTTTGTACATGTATTTTTCTTTCATCAAATATTTTTTTAATAAGACCTATGCATTTGAAACTTGAGCTTTGGGCCTTTAGACATTATGTTGTTGGTCATTATCATATAAGTTGCAGTGATAATCATTTAATTGCATTCAGTCATATATAAGCCTGAGCTAATCTAGCTATCTTCCTTAACCTTATTTTCACCATACTCGACCTCCGCATTATCATTTAACCTCCATCTCATCATTTGATCACCACATCATTTGAGCTCTCTCTCTCTCTCTCTCTCAATAAATTAAAAAGACTGACTTTCGAAACACCTTTCAATGATTGTACTTCATTGGAAAATATATGAATAACTTGGAAACCTATAAACCCTTCGACCTTCACGAAGATGTTGCAAAACTCAAAAGACCATCAATCCTACTTCCTTACATATGTCCGACCACTCTCTTCTCATCAACACCTTGGCCTAGCTCTTATACAAGTCTATACATATTGGTCTCCTTTTCTTGTAAAGATAAGGCATTGTTGAATGAAATTTCATAAAAAACAAGTCCATAAAATGTGCTTGAGACTATGCATTGTTAAATGTGAAGTAGTCTGCTCTTCTTAGTGCGCTTTTCACCCTAAGAGGACTTCTTGAGTGTGACTCACAGCCCTTGAAAAAAAGCCTGTAAGTAAGAAGATTGTCAAGATGAATGATAGTTGGTGGAGGTTAAATTTAGTTATCCCTCGCTGCACCTATTTAAGCCTTAGCTCCCCTACGAGTTTGATCATTGCCCAAACTTATTATTTCAATGTCCATTAAGTTTAATAAATCTTATCAGGTTAATGCTACTCCCATTAAGTATCTCAAATTCAACCTTGTTGTTGTCAAGACTCGCACTAGTAAACAAGTGACTTAATTAAACCATCAGTGAATTTCACAAATTTTAATTCACTTCCATGCTCCTATATAATGTGCACATTCATCCTACATCAATTTGCAATTTTCCTACATCAAAACAAGTATATATAAATATAAAGAAAATGATCCAAATGGTCTCTCAACTCTTTGTTAGGGACTAAAATGATCCACAACTCTTTTGAGGGACTAATTTGAACCGTTAAGTCCTTCAAAAGAGACTTTTTTTGTCCTAAAATCAAATTTTGAGATTAGTAGTGTTAAATCAAAGGATATTTTGGACATTTTTAATTAAATTATTTATTAAATATAATTTTCAAGTAATAGTATTTTAAAAAAAACTATTAAACATTATTTAATAAAAGATTTTATTAATTATTCTAATCTATAATTATCCTAAATTAAAACTATAATTATTAATAATTTTTAAAATTATTATTATTATTATAACTACATCTCCCCCTCTCACTCACTATTTCAAACAACAGAGATCGATTGGGCATGCATTCCGTTGGTAAAGAAAGGCAGGACCTAGGCATGGTTTGTCTATGCGTGGAGGTCGAATGTAGAGGAGGCAGATGGCAGTTCGTTCGCACGGAGGCTTGCGGGAGTCTGGGCCGGGAGTTGCCGCAATGGGGCGGCTGCCTGGAGGCGGGCTAGTAGGGAGGTTGGGTGCAGGTATCTGGGTTGGGACGATGTTTCCAATGGGAGTCGAAGTCGCGATAGCACAAGGAGATCGATTGCCGAGGTGCATTTGGTCCTTCGAGAGTTTGAATGTATGTGTCCTTTCGATGTCAGGCTTGCTTGATGCCAAGCTGTCAAGCTATAAGTCCATCTTTTCCATCATTTCATATCACTTCCTCCCTTTTGTGCCTCTTTTGCCACATTGAGGGGGCATTTAGGGTTTTTGTTACTCTTTTGATGTCTTCTCTACCGCATTGAGAAGATATTTGAGCTTTCTTGGTTGACCCGACCAATTTGTTAGTCCCATTTTAACATCTTATCTACCACATTAGGGAGATATTTGGGCTTGTTCAATCACACATATTGAGATATAAGTCTCATTCCTGATGTCTCCTCTATCTACCACATTGAATACGCATTCAAAATTCTACTCCTTAGACATCTCTACCACATTGAAAAGAGGTATGTATCCATCTCATTTCCTCTACCACATTAAGGAAGTATTCAGATTTTTTGGGCATTCTCAATCGCACATGGTTGAGTTATAAGCCTAATCTTGGGTATTTTCCTTGCCACATGGAAACTAAACCTTCTTTCCTACCTGCTAACCCTAGAACCTAGGTAGCCTTGGCAGGTACCACCGCACAGTACTATAAGTCGAATCTGGGTTACTCTCTCATATGCCAATGGAGTGTAATTCCTGTCTATCAACCTAGGAATAGGTTTACACCCTTAGTTTAGGAGGTGCCCTTAGTTGCTAACAAGAATCCTCTCGTCGTCACTTAACTAAGTAGACAAAGGACGCTGACGAACCCAAAATGATGGAATCATGAGACATTGACCAGGGGCGTTATACCCACCTGGTAGGTTTGTTCTCGCTTCCTAAATTTCCTGAAAAAAAAACTATCCTAAGCACAATTCCAAAAAATTGCTTTTTCAAGATTTTTTTGACTAAACAAATTCTCACAAAATATCATACCAAACACTTCAAAACTGCTTTTGTTGTCTACTGGAAAAGAAACAAGCAGCATAAAGCTATACCAAATAGAGCATAAGAGAGATGATAGCAGTAGTAAGTAGACAAAACTAAGATACATAAATTGCAACAAACAATAGTCAACCATCGTGAACTTTTAAGTAAAACTCCACCTTCTTAAATGGAGTTATCCCCAGCAATTTGAACAAGGTGGGGAGTGGATGAATTGTAGATTCATCAGTAGAACAATTGGTGACCTTAAGTGATGTTTGATGACTCTTGCGGAACATTGAACTCTTCAAATACACACTGCAACGTATATCAATAAAAAATACATAAGTATAACTAGCTTGCTGAAGAAGTAAAACTGTATCTTTAGCTGTATAAGATATCAAATAACTTCCTTTAAGTATTACCTTAGGCATACCTGACTGACAAGAGAATTGTGTCCATGATGCCAAGAACATCGGGAGCAAATTTACAGAACCCCACCACCTTAATCTTCTTTTCTTTTATGAGAGGTGAAAGGCAACGTGCCCACTCGTTTGGTATTCGACCAATCTTCAATGCAGAACAACAACCAATTTCAAGTGAGATTACAGTGGTGATCAGCCATCTCTAATAAATATATGAAAACAATAATTATGACAAATATTCCTCGAGAAAATAACCACACCAACCTCACCATGTTCTTCGGACGAAAATCGTACAATCTCCGAACAAGATGCCACTGCACGTCCTCGGCCAGAAAATTTTGTGCACATTTTTGAACTTATAGTCGATGGGAAAGAGAATGTCACTGGATCACCCGCCCTAAGCCTTCTCCCCTTGCTAGTAGAGAGGCCAGCAAGCTCCGAACTTCCCAGAAGCCACCATTCATCGTTGCCTGGAGCATATGTACTTGAAGGAGCTTCATACTGTGCAATGGATCTATTTATAGGAGGATCTAGCTCTACAGGAAAATTAGAACATAAGTTTTGCTTCTCTGCAGACTCTTCGCTGGGAGAGACAGCTTCACGACTGGCAACTGCTGGAGATTTCTTGACGGAACTCCCCTTCTCCTCGACAAGCCGAAGATGTGGGGTATCCAATATGATGTTGATTGCGGCCGAGGGATCGTTGTTAGCCATATGAAGAGCACGGATTATGTCCATTTCGGTAAAATTCTCGCCCAACACGGATTGAACGAGGATTACTTGCTCGTACGATGCCTTACTTCCCATAAGTGGAACAAAAAAATGGAGAGGAAGAGTTCGCAAGAAACCCTAACCTAAGCTGCGGAAGCGAATGGAGCGCAGCGAGTTGAGTAGAAGAATCCAGGCTCCGCACACCACTCCACAGGGAGCATGGAAGTCGGCTCTCGGGGGTGAAGGAGGTGGAGGAACAAACAATGCCGGTTGCCGCGAAAAGGCGACAGGCCTGGCGCGCTTTTTTTTCTGTGGAAACACCGCCCTTCCTTCCCGCCTACAAGAACTAGCAAAATAATGCCGCGCATTGAGAACTCGCGCGAGATAATTGATAAAATATTCATATTTTTTACGTTTTATACAAAATTATTCATTAAGTATTAGTGCCTTTTTTATTAATTAAATTATAAAAAGCCTCATTTTAGCATCATTTGTCTCTAATAATAAGTATATAAATACCCACCATTGTTTGATTTGGTTAGTGAGCGAATACGGTTGGGAACTCCTAACTCGTACTCGATTCCGCTCGAACGACAGCGTGAGGCTTAATCAAGTTCGAGCCAGGAGATTGTTGTGGTGGTTGTCTCTTCTAGGTCAGCCGATGATAAGTTACGCCGCCAAGCGCATTTTTGAGGTGACAACGGTGGATAGCGTTCCAAAAAAAAAAAACATATAAGTATTTATCATAGATTGAATGATACATAATGCAAGCAGATGCGAAGTTAACGCAAAGTTATTGATTGTCATGCCTTCATTGACCAACTGTGAACTTGACAAATTGAAACCAAAGGAGAGGCTGAGAAAAATAAAGTGGGTGCGACAACGCGTTTATAACGGCAAATTATTGGGTCAGGTGATCGAATGCAGAGATAGGTCCGGATATTAATAAAATATTATTTTAAAATTAGCGCAAGTAAAGCGCAACTAAAGCGCAAGTCAAAAAGCTCAACCAAAGCGCAAGGTGACCCGGCAAATTTTTATTGTATGTCCGAACTTATTTTCCGCCTCCGGTCACCTGACCCAATAATTTGCCGTTTATAAGAGATAGTGCTAAGAAGCTTAATGCCCTCAATGCCTTCTAATTGTCATAGTCAATCTTTGAGATTTGGATTCGTTGGCTATTAATAGCCTAACAAAGAGAAGAATAATTCAATTTGTTACAATGTGATTCGATTTAGACCATGCAATGCTTGATGCACTTGATATGGTCGATATTTTACTTATTATAAGAGATGTTACTCGAAAGAGCCCATGAGGAAATCTTTTTTATTGTGTATAGAAAATTGATTTTAATTAAGTAATAAGAAGACTAAGGTTTTGTTTTGGACCTATTATTTGTTGCTTATTGAAGCAGTTTTTTAGTAAAAAATTTTAATTTTCATACTAAAAGCCTGTTTCAAAAAGCAATAAAAAAATAGTACCAAACAAAACATAAAAGAAAATAAAGGAAGTGAATGATGCTTCTTCTTTTAGCTCATCTAAAGCTCCAAGAATTTTGTTGAGTGGAGAATGCAAACTCTATCATTGGTCCTTCATGTTTTCAACATTCAATTTTAATGCAAACTTTTTAAAGTCATTAGCATTCCATCACTTTGGGAGATTTCTCTCTCAGGCGTTTTTGGTTTGTAATTTCCTAAGCTAAGTTTGTGGTCGATGATACAAAGCTTTATTTGAGGCGGTTTTTTACAACTTTTTAAAACAGTATTTTAGTACAAAAGTTTTAATTTGTGTATTATAAAGCTACTTTAAGAAGTAATAAAAAAACCGCCTCAAACGAAACCTATATTATAAGCAACATTTAACGAACAAAATTTATTTTATCTTCTAGCAAATCTAAGTGATATATATGCAGTTTTTATTTGCTTTGGATCACTATTTCTTCCTCTCACTAGACTTTTGCCTGGACACCACCGCCTCCCCACTGACTACGGCCTTTCCGACCTCCATCGCGCACTGATTATGGCCCTTTCGACCACTGTCGCTCGTCGACTATGGTCCTTTAGACCACCATTGCTTGCCAACTATAATCATTCCGACCACTGTTACTTGGCTACGGTCTTTACGACATTCGTCGCCCATCAACTATGGTCCTTCCGACCAACATTGCTCGACTATAATATTTCCGACCTTCGTCGCGTTGACTACAAACCTTTTGACCACCGTCGTCTCATTATGGTCTTTCTGCCCTCTATCGTTTGCTGACCACGGTCCTTCCAACCACCGTCACCTGACTACGGTCTTTCCAACCTCCGTCGCCCGACTACGATCCTTCCGACCATCGTCGCCTTACTACGATCTTTCCAACCTACGTCGCCCCTACTAATATCCTTTTGACCACTGTCGCACAACTATGATCCTTCCCCCATATATGGCTCACTGACTATGGTTCTGCCGACCAAACAAACATGTAAACACTTTTTCTTCCCACTCCCACCATGTAATGCACTCAATTTGATGTATATTTTCTACATCGAGCCAATGCCTTCCTCCCAAGAAAGGACTTCATTTGTAATCAACTGCAACAGTAATTGATTCATTTAAATTGGGCAAGACGTGTGGTTTTCTCCCTTTTTAAGGGTTTCCACATAAAAACTTTGATGTCTCTTATGAATGCTGCACCCTTATCTTTCATATGTTTGTGTGTTTGACTTTAGTACAAAACTAGGATGCTAAAATTTATATTTCTCTACCACTACGAATATTCCAGGACCCAACAGGAGCTAATGTTTATAGCCAAAAGGCAATATGTTATATTTGTGCCAACATCATTATCACATACATGCCATGTTGCCCTTTTTTTTTTTTTTGGAAGTTGTATGCATCATAGATGCAAATCCATAATGATGATCATGCTTAGTGTTTGCATGTAATTATGATTATATTTGACGTGGCTTAAATTTCATACACATGAATTATCAAATTTATGAATGGGCACTTTGCATCATGATACATAAGAGAGATGATTTTTGTGTGTTCGCATATTTAATATTGGAGCATAAGCATTCCTTAAATAGTTGTGCGCATGAACATGCTGTGAAGTAACTGAGATGTATGGTTCATACGTTAGTAAAATTTGGATTGCTTGGTCATGAATCTCAATGCAATACATACTGTAAAAACTTATGGAATCAAATTCAGAATTATTCAAACTAATTTCAAGAAATTTATTGTTGAATATTATGAATTGGAAGGATGGACCTAAGAACACCAAAAAAGTTTCTATCCAAATCCAAATGAGCCCAAATTAAACACGTGAAAGTACGATTAAAAATTTTGGGATATTAATTAAAGGATTAAACAATTTCCAATTCTTGCACGCCTATAGTCATCACGAGACTCATCCAACAAGCTCGATATTAATTGATTATGAGAGATCTTAAATCATTTAAATGTTCAAAGAACATTCTATGATCAAATGAATTATTTCATGTTGTCCAATTGAGTGTTTTGAGATTTTTGTTAAATTTATCAAAATGTCACACTCAAAATACTATAAGTAGACCGTCGTTCATTATATGAAAGAGACTTGGACTTGAGTTTGGAGATAGCTTAGAGATTTGAACAACACTAGAACTCTACTTAGCATTGGACGCCCTCATTCACCTTCAATTATTATTATCCTGCAGCCACCATCATTCGACAATTATCATCATTTAAATACCATCACCCGACCATCATATTTTATTCATTATCAATCTATCTCCATCTTCCACTACATCACTTGGCCATGGTTGTCCGACTATCATCAATCAACTATCATATCCCAAGCAAAATGTCATATTTTATGTATTGATCCATCATTTTTTCCACTACATCACTTGGCCATGGTTGATCCATCATTTTTTCCAACCTACCTAGATCTCAATATGTGTTGTTGTAAAATTTCAAGATTGCAAGTTATGAACTAATCTCTAATTCAATATTCAATCGATACATAATTTATGTCAACGTGTTTGCATTAATTCGTTATTTCAAGTTTATCAGAAATAAGTTGGAGTAATAACAGATGACTTGACTCGACAACTCGACACTATTTTTACCCGAAAGTTTTAGGTTTAAGTTGGCATGTTTAATAAGTGGGTTGTGTTTGACTCATAAATTACAGAGTTTAAGTTGGCATGTTTAACTAGAGAGTCGGGATTGTGTTGACCTGTGAACTTGAGAGTGATCCAATAATTTTTTTTTTCTTTAAATTATTTTGTTTGTTGGTATGTTCTTCTTATTTTGATCAATTAATCTAAACTCTATAATTAAAATTATACATTTTTTAAAATTTGAGTCATCCAGTTGACAATGGGTCAAATTTAAGTCCACCTTTTTATATGTTTATTAAACAAGCCAGTCTTAAATTGCCTTAGTTCTAATCGGGTCAAATCACGTCCAACCCGAACTAGATATCTATCGACCTGTTTTGACACCTTAAAAAATAGACACACAATATATTAACAGATTTCTTAATTTATAAGATACAAAATCCTTTGTAGCCCAACTTGAAGATCAACTAAGAAAACAAATTCCATTTAGCACTACTTAGTTGGCTGGTTGGAAATGATCAAATGAATGAAAAAAAAGAAACAAAAAACAAAAACAAAAGCAAAAACAAAAAACCCTATGCCCCACTTGTACAGCTGTTAATATTGGACCTGACCTGAAAACCCGACCCAAAAATTTCGGGTTTGGGTTGACCCAAACCCGAAGGGGGTCGGGTACAGAAAACTGATCCGTTTGCAAAATCGGGTCGAGTTCGGGTTGACCTGGAAAACCCTTATGCTCGCTCAGCCAGTGTTGTCTGCCCCGCCTTCCCCGCAGCCCCCTGCCTGCTACTCCGGCTGCCTGTGTACATCGAGCCGCGGAAACTGCCCGTGTAGCTTGCCCGCCTGCCCCCACCTGCTGCGCAATCGTGTCTGCCGCGTTGTCGCACGGACCTACCGAGCCTCGCGGCTGCCCCCGCTGCCCGTCGATGCCGAAGCCACCGTCATCGCGTCACGTCTGCCGCGCGCGCCTGCCGACGCTGGCTGCACTTTTTGAGACTTGTTGTGCGATTTGTGCCACAGCTGAAGCCGAAGTGGGTCGGATTGGGGTCCAGAAAATCAACCCGTATGAAAAAACGGGTCTGGTTCGGATTGACCCGAATAGTGCCGGTCAGTTTCGGGTTCGACTCGAACCCGACCCGTGACCCGAAATTGACACCCCTACGGCCACTCGTTACAAAATTTATCTTCAAAAGGCTTTTGGGATGTGATTTGCATAGCGGTTTGACTACAAGCATTGCAAAGAATCTTTGAACCCATCCTTTGTATTTTACTTAAAACCTCAAGACAAAAAAATTTGTATATATCTTAAGCTTATAAAATTTCACTTAATGTACTTTAAGCACCATTGCATCAGCAATATTATCATTTTAAAAAGAACTCCTACTGAAGTAAAACTCTGATACTTATAATAAAAACTGGTGATGTAAACATTCCATTTAAAAACTTCTATGAGAAGCTTATTTTATTAGCTTGAGAAAGTTCGGTGGAGAACAGTATTCGAGAACTGTGTATCAGTTCTGATTCATTTGGAATATTTTTTTAGCTGTTTTATAAAATAATTTCTTAATATAAATTTTTTATAATAAAAGAATTTTTACTATTGATTTCATACTACTTTCTAGAGCTAATTTTTAGTATAAAAATCTATTGAAAAAAAAAAAAACTAATCTAAAGCTATTCCAAACAAAAAAAATTATTATGTGCGGACGCCGAACGCCGTCCGGAGATCAGCCAGAATACGCAATGTCACCCATTCGCTCGGTACTGCGGCTCTATGCCTCTGACGTAGTTGCACCTTATCACCTCCGGACGTAGAGCTACGTCTGGCGTCCACAAAGAATAATTTCTCTCTAAACAAAGTCTTAGAAAACGATAAAAAAATTGTCTTAAACGAAATCATAAAATTTTTGTTAGCTCGGATTTTCATAGGTGCTGCATACAATGATGAAAACTTCTGAAAATTCATGTGAACCAAACATTTTTCAACTCTAAAGGCGATCTTTGATATTCGCACAAGCATTTGAGAGTAAAATTCTATTGGGGTAGGTGAGCATTTGAACACAGCTCCTCATAATTCTTAAATATTTTTCCAGCTAATTCTATACTCATTTGAGGGCTTCAAAAGAATATTTTCAGAAACAAAAAGGAGCCTTTGGATGAGGATGCTCGGGTGGATGAGTGTCTTTACCCTTAGAGATATGATATAAAATAAGCACATGCGTGAAAAGGCTGGTGTAGCGCTAGTGGAAGATAAGATTAGATAGAGTCGCCTTAGATAGTTTGGTCATATAAAACGACAACCTTCCGATGACCCGGTTAGAAAAATAGAGGTATTTGATTTGACTTATGTTAAGAAAGATTGAGGTAGATCTAAAAAGGCTTGGTTAAAAAATATTAGAAATAATCTTTATTTTATTAAATTTAAACTATAATTTAACATTTAATATGACAAAATGGAGAAAAATGATTCATGTAGCAGATCTCACACAATGAACAAAGGCTTAATGTTGTTGTTGTTGTTCTTGAGAGATATCTACTTGCTCTTAAGAGACTCTTGTCGAGATTTACCCATCATACTAGATAGGAAGTTTTTGACCTCAGCTTATTACATTTTCTAGAAAATCCCAAGAGGATATGGTCCACGTATTAATGGCATAATATCGCAGCTACACATTCAGGTAAAGCATGCACCACCATATATTGTCTCTTTCATAAATTTCATATAATGTTGAAATCCCTTAATTAAGCTTTACCATTATGCCCATATCATTTAATGATTTTGCCACATGAGCATCACTTCCTATCTTTTGAGCTCTCTTTGCTAACCTCTTTTGGCTATTCTCTCCACCTCTCCCCAGGGGGCGGATCCAGCCTTAATTTTCGGGGAGGGTGGCGGCAAATTTTATATGTAAAAGTGTAGAATTTTTTTCTTTCAAAAATATCTTTATAAACAAAATTTATTCCTAGGGCCTTGCCCCCCGACCCCTATTTATTCATCGTTGTATGCTTCGCTGATATGTCGGGGGTCCAAGAGGGGTACGTCCCTTGGCGGGGTTCGACCTGCCCTATCAGGTTACAGGGTATTTACTATTTCTATTTGTATTTGATTTATCATTCCCTAACAAAAACATTTTTATACAATGTGTTTAATTATGTTTAGGGTAATTGGCTAAATATCATAGTATTTTAAAACTTCTAGTGGGGGCAATTGCCTAAAAATCCTTATAATAAAGACTTAAAAAATATATAAATGAAGACAAATTACCTAAAGAATCATATAATAAATAAATTTCTTTATCATTTCGGTGGGGCCTTAAGGCGGATCCGCCCATGCCTCTCCGCTATAGTAGGAGAGGCCAATCTTATATCCCCAATGTGACCATAACAAAAAGCAATGGATGTCGGCCAATATGATCCAACCATTCTAAAATTCTATATGCTCTTCATTTTTTACATTGTCTGCTATTATTTCTCACTGAGATGTTAGAGCTCGCATTCCTTCTTATGAAGGAGTGCTTGCTCTTTAGATAAATATCCCTAACAAATATTATCACATAAGAATAAACATGTGCTTCTAATATAGATCAAGTGTATGATAGGTTTCTTTTACTTTAACTCAATTATCTTAAAGTAAAGTAAATTTTTTTTTATTTATATGTTTTTTAATATTAAATTACATAATATTTTTAAGTGAAAAAATTTGAGCTAAATTATGATAAAAGATAAAATTCTTAAATTCACTTTAAAATCAATTTAATTCATAAAAAATCAATTATTATAAATCTTAAAATACATATAATAATTTAAAACTTATAATAACTAATTTATAGTTATAAATTATAATACTTTTTTTTAATAGGAATGGGGTATCTACGCACTATCATTATAAAGAAAGCGTTTTGCGGCGTAACTAATCACTCAATGAAACATAGCTAGTACACCCATCGGGTTCGGACCCACACTTTGTTTGCCCCACTGAAGAGGCGATGTCGTAGTAGAGGGATTCAAACCCGTGATAGGAGGGATTATTCTGTGCGGACGCCGAACACAACTCTACATCCGAATATAAATCAGAATGAGTCACGTCAGTAATACCGAGTCGTGATTCCAAGCGATATTGACAGTACCGAGCCGCGAGCCTAGACATAGGTTCCACTTTTTCCCTTGATAGGAGGTTTCCAACCTCGCCCACCACCTTAAGGCCGGAGGGAAATTATTGGGTCAATTCATCGGACGTGTTCGAAGCCCAATAAAAATGCGACACATCACCTCCTACTCAATACTGAGCAGTACCAAACAGTATCTAGCTCGGTACCGTTCAGTACTATAAATATTGATGGTAAGACCCAATAATTTCCCAAGCACGGATGAATTTTTTATTGATTTTTAACCAACGTTTCCAAAATTGGGCCTGTACGTAGAAGTCACGGAACGCCTCAGCTACGGACCACTGCCATTTGGCTGCCTCGCAGGATCTGCTCATTATTGCGGGCGTGTCCATTCCCATTTGCCGCCTCATTTCCTTCTCTATATTGATTCTCTTCAATTCTCGTTTTTTTTTGCTGGTAATACTTCATCGCACGGCGGCGTTGAAGGCTTATGGTCTCTAATCATGGGAGGAAAGCTCAGAGCCAAGCCATGGCGGTGGTTGATGAGAGGCTGGGGGAGGAAAGAGAGGGCGAGGCCGGTCATCGGCGTGCTAACCTTCGAGGTGTCCCGCCTCATGTTGAAGACCATCAATCTCTGGCAAGCCCTCGACGATGATCGGGTTGCGGTGCTGAGGGACGAAACCCTACGCCTCCAAGGAGTGAGAAAACTTGTCTCCGACGAAGATGACTTCCTCCTTAGCCTCGCCTTGGCCGAAGCAATGGACGCCGTCCACATCATTGCGCGGGCCGTAGCCCGCCTCGGATCCCGCTGCTCCAACCCGGTCCTCCTCCGCTTCGAGTATGTCTTTACGGATCTGATAAAGACCGACTCCGACCTCTGCGGTCTCGAATACCCTAATAAGAAGAAGATGGCGCGCGAGGTCAAGAAGATGGAGAAGTTCATCGCGGCGAGCTCCAATTTGTATCAGGAGGTCGAGATACTCGCGGAGCTGGAGAATGATCTGAGGAGGATGCAAACGATTCCGTCGATGAATCGACAGGGTTGCAGCTTAGGGATTTATAAAAAAAGGGTTTCGTGGCAGCGGCAGGCTGTGAAGAACCTGCAAGATGCCTCTGTCTGGAATCGGAGTTATGATTTCGTTGCCCGGATTCTAGCCAGGGCTTTGTTCACAATTGTCGCGAGGATTAAGTTTGTTTTCGGATTTCATCGCAAGGACGAGGCTTATGGCTCTAAAACCACGGGGCATCTCTCCAGCATCTACAATTCTGTAAGTGGAATTTTAAATTCTTCTTTTCTCCACTCCTCGAACGTAAGAGGCATAAGAAGTTTTGCATCAGGTCCCCTCATGAATCGTAGTAGCTCCAAATCTTCGCCACACGGTAATTTTCACATACAAAACAATAATACTGCAAGCATAGATACAAATGAGATCGAAGGAGAAGAAACTGAACCTCAAACAAATATTTTCAATATGAAACTATCTCTGTCCTTGTTCGAGTCCAAACGCAAGCTACTGAGCGCTCCGCCATCCACGCTGGGAGCTGCTTCTCTGGCTCTGCATTACGCAAATTTGATCATTGCAATCGAGAAGCTTGCTGCTTCTCCGAATTCAATAGGGCCTGATGTGAGAGATGAACTGTACAGAATGCTACCTAGCAGCATAAGAATCGCCCTGAAGATGAGGCTGAGTTCTTACGCAAAGAACTTAGGCTCATCTGTTTATGATCCAACTCTTGCAGAGGAATGGAGTGACGCCATGATCAAGATTTTGAATTGGTTGTCTCCACTTGCACATAATATGATTAAGTGGCAATCAGAGAGGAACTTTGAGAAGCAGAATTTTGTTTCAAGCACAAATGTTCTTTTAATGCAGACTCTTTATTATGCAAATCAGGCCAAGACTGAAGCTGCCATAACAGAGCTGCTTGTAGGTCTTAATTATTTGTGGAGATATGGTAGGGAGCTCAATGCAAAAACTGTGCTTGATTGTGTTGGCAGCAGAACTTTTATGGGTGCTGGAAGATAAAGAGAATTATAATTTTTGTTTAAGCAAGTAAAATTGATACTAATTATGGGTTTTTTTTGATAGATTGTTGATGAGTAAGGATGTTCATTTGATAGATTTGGTTGGCGTGATTTACAAATTAGTTAAATTAATTGATTTTGATTATAAAATTCAGATAATCGAATTGATCAACCTATTATCAAATATGTTGCTGGGTAGAATATACGCGGCGATAGAGTTAGAAATTTTCATCTTAGCATTGTACGGATATCCAACACACAAACATAAGAAAAAAAGGAACACCATAATTTTTACGTAGAAACCATGGAGCCACGCCCAGTTGAAATGATTCAACTAGTGTTTGATTAGATTACAAGTGACTGACTCCTCCCTGAAATTGAGAGCGATCACATTATAATAATCAATCGACGGGTTGAAATCCAATTACGAATGGAGATTGGAAATCCGGCAATGTTTGATGGTCGGACGAAAATCTGACTTCAATTGAAGGTCGTGCGGAAGTCCGGTGTCAACTGGCGGTCGGGCAAAAGTCCGGTGTCAGTCGGTGGCCAGGAAGAAATCCGGCATCAGTTAGCTGCCGAGCGGAAGTCCGACGTTAGTTGACGGCTGGGCAGAAATCTGGCGACAGTTCTATTTTCATTATTTAAAAGAACTCTTTTATTATGATATTTAAATATATAAATACAATAAAAAAATAATATATATTCTAAATTAATTAATCAGTTTATTTAAATATCAAACTCTAATACAAATATATTTGAATATTTAGTGGGAGGTTTGTTCCTAGAATGGTCGTTGTTGTTGTCGTCAAATTTTTGCATATAATTTGCCACTTGCCAGTTATAGTACCATTACTTATGTCTTATTATCACCCGTCTGTCATTAAAGCCCTCCATGACCTAATTTACAACATCACCATGATATGCTAACGCTTTGTTTGGGACGACTTTTTTATTGCTTCTGAAAATAAGTTTTAGTACAAAAATTAAAATATTTATGCTACAACTCCGTTTTAAAAAAACAATAAAAAAGCTGTCCCAAACGAAGCCTAACTCACTATCATTACAAGCCTGTAAATTAAAGTATTCCTCACTTCTTTTTTGACGGGTCATTTAGTCCAATTAAGATAAGCACCTACAAGTGAAATTCAAATGAGGGGATTATGACTTATAGATTTTGATTTGGTTTGAAATTGATTTTCTTATTATTTCTTAAAATAATTTTTAATACATAATTAAAATTTTATACTAAAACTTATTTTAAAAAACAGTAAAAAAAAAAAAAAATCCCAAACAAAACTATAGTAGGATATTTGTTCATGCTTACTCTACTAGTGAACGTAGACTTACGAATCAAACTATTACAAATCTCAATCTCTTTTCTTAATGTTCTGTTTAAAGGGTTCGTTTGGTTCCCGTTTCTCCTTCGTTTTTCAATTTGAAACGGAGAAATCAGTTGATGTAGATGTTTGAATGTAAGACAAACTTTTTATAATACTCCATTTCTCTTCCGATTTGAGAAGCATTATATATTAGCTTTTCTGTTTCAAAAACTCCATTTCTCATAGTGAAGTTTTTGAAATTGAAACGGCAAATAAACCAAACGAAGCCTAAGACAATTGCAACTATTCATAAAATCAATTTTGGAACTACTAAAAGAAAAAAATTTGGTATCTAAAGTTACTATATAACTTCTTTAAAATAATGAAAATAGAACTGCAAAATCCCGATTTGAAAAAACATGAAACATATCTACATCACTAAAATATAAGTTGATGGGCTCAATATGAAAAGCTATTCTATGTTACAAAATTTTATAAATTATAATACAACATCCAATCTTTATCCCATTACATGAGATCAACTACATGAATCATTTTTTTCCATTATGTCCTATTAGGAGTCAGATTCTCATTTAAATCTAATAAATAAAGATAGTTTCTAATATTTTCTAACCAAATCTTTATATGAATTATATGCTAAAAATTGACCAGATTGTGATCTGAAAATAAAAACTAAGGAAAAACTATCCTAAACAAACTCTTTTTCTCTTTACATGAGAAAGCAAACATCTTTGTACAAATTAAAGCACAACTCTCAATCTTTACCAAAAGAATTTTCTAACAAGCAACCAGAATCAAATGCTAATAATAATTCCATCTTCCCGTTTGGCATTTCATAGCTAAAAACTACCATAACAAGTTTTTTAACAAAGCTTAAACAGGCAATCTTTTGTTACATTCTGTTCTATGTTCATCAAGCCGATGATTCCTGCTTTGAAGCATGTCTTGTGACTTCCATTAGGAGTTGAGGATTCACCTGAGCTAAAAGCCCTATTCATCTTTTCACATTAGGTCGTGTAATACACATTAGTGGCAAAGAAAGGCTATTCAGTGGGGGCTGCAACCTTAACAATTGCAGAAAAATATGAAATTTTTGAACAAAAAAGGGAAAAAGGTAAGTGGATGTGTGCAACTTCAATTCTGCTGCGGTGTCAGTTCGATGGCAACACAAACAATATAAAAGCATCAGAAGATCGAGGATGGCAACTCGGGGGATACTCGATCGGCCACTCGCCCATACTGCAAACAGAAATAAATCCTTATCTTAAGCATTCAGTCATAGAAAATTAGAAAATGTACATTTTTATGGAAATCAACTACGACAACATCAGCTAGTTAACCTTTTTTTTTTCGGGACATTTAGGTCATTTAAGACAAATTCATACACATAACGCATACACAAAGACTCGAACCCATGACCTCTTAGTTGGAAGCCTAAACTCTCAACCAACAGGCTAAGGTGAGCTGTGTTCAGCTTGTTAGCTCGTTAAAGATTTTAAAAGTTGTTAAGATCCTGCGACCGAATCCTACTTGTATCAATTTATGCTTTGACACTCTTGACTTTCCCAGCAAAAAATTGTTCAGACCGACGTTGGTCGACTTCAGACCGACGTGGTGGAGGGAAAAACTCTAGATCGCTAGGCCACGGCTCTAATGTTTAACGTATATTCAAATATTCAATAGCATGTTCAATTCATTAGTACAATTTGTTAGGAACTGAGGAAAGGCATTCAAGAGATAATGCTACACTATCCCACCCATTAGCCCAAGATTTTGGTACATTGAGTTGGTGAAAACAATAATTTGTGCAATATACAATCACATTGGCTGTTAATTTTCATTCCTCTCCATATATTAATACCAACACGTCAAAAGTTTTCTGAGCATATTAGGTGGGGGAGTGTAGCATTACTCCATACAAGTAAAATCAATTGTGATGAACTTTATGATCATAATCTAATAGATAGCATGATAGAACTAGAGCCTCCCTATATATATAAAGAGAGAGGGAGAGAGGGAGAGAGAGAGAAAGTTGGATGTAAAATACAAATTTCACAAGAACAGTAATTATATAAGAGAGACTTTAACGTACTTTTTCTTGCAAGTACTTGTCACGTATGGCACTGAGGAAGGAATTAGAGCAATTTTGCTGCAAAGCTTGCATAGCCAGCACTACATGTTGAAGATCTGAAGCTTTGTATGAGGTGTAATACTCAAGGGTACGATTCTAAGTAGAAGTAATAACTATAATAAGCAGTAGGCACATATTAAAAAAGAAATGAGCAAAGACAAACGTGTGTATATACCCAAGGGTGATCAGACTGATCCAATGTCCATCTGGCAAGGAATACAGCAGATGCAGCTATAACTGAAGGAAGAAACTCTAAGAAGCTATATTCCACCAATGTCAACTCAGCCAAGAAATTTGCCGCATATCCTAGAGTAAGTGAAGGAACCTGTAAATTGGAAAAGAAAAAACTGAGTCGTTTTTTCATTAAATTTATTTAAAAGAAAGGTAACAAAATCACTTATGTTTATGCATAAAAAGAATAACACTATAAGTGGCTATCAAAACAAGTCTAATAAATGCTTTGTAAGATTAGCATAATATTCCGCAAGTCAACATCATTATAGAAGTGACCATATTGATGTGGGGCTCAAAGACTAGTCATATTTTCACGTTTGAAATAAAAAGTAGTTCACTTGCATTCGTTTTTCATCTTTTTGAGATGTATTTAGTTAATTGCATTCGTTTTATATGTTCATGGGTGAAAAAAACGAAACATATATTAAATTGTGGAATTAAAATAAATCTACCTTGTAAGTTGACTGCGCAGCTCTGAGGAATCTCCTGCAAGTATAATAGAATTATGATATTAAAGTATGAAGTATGAACCTTCATGAATCTAGCATAAACTTAGTTCTGAAACAAACCTTAAAAATGTTTTTATTGTAGGGAAAGACAGTCTAAATTCCAAATAGTCGAGTACTTGAATCTCCATTTTAAGTACCTACAAGTGAAAAAGTTGGCCGATGATTATGGTATTATTGAATTTTTCTCTTTTCATTCTTCATACTATGATAAAATTTCTCGGTTAAATTGCAATATCGTTCTGAAAGGAACAAGATAAGCATACATCTTCTTTGGTGTAGGTGTTATCTGTAATAAAGCAAAATTCCTCAACTCGAGGAGCACAAATTTCTTCATATTTTCTGCATAAGACAAAAATAGAAGAAATTGACGTCAAAGTCTCCACTCTGCACAAATAACATAATAAAAATGAAGTAAAAAAATTTTAAATTAAAATTGACAATGTTCATAGAAATCAGGGTCGATGCCAAAAGAAAAATCAATATTGATTATTAGGCGAGCATCCAACAAGAAAACTTTCGGAATGCAATATGCATATTTTTATAATGAAAAGAACAAAAGGAAATGAAGAATGCATTAGAAATCACATAAATTCAAGAAGAATTATGTGATTCAAGCTACAGATTCAATCTTACTGTCACAGATACTGGCAAACTGGTAAGAAACGGAAAATGAAAATTAAGGTGGAGAGATTGAAAAAAGATGCATTTAATCTGAAGCTAATCTGCATTTAGATTTCATTTACTTATTTTAATCAAGTAAATTTAACCCAAAAACCCCATTGGTTTGCATGAAGCACCAACGCAAAAAAATTGTTTAACATAACAAAGTGCATCTTGATAAGAATATTCGTTTCATTTTAAAGCAGGAATAATATTAAAAATTAACAAGGAATTTTTAACCATGTGTTAAAAATAATCTACATAATCATTCTCAGTTGAATTTGCTAGAAAATGATTTCATATTTTCCAAAGTTAACCAAATAATGTTTTATATTCTTAAAAAAGACAATGCAACTATAGATTCATATTAAGAGAGGCCTTCAGCACGTGCTGATGCAGTGCACATTTTATTGCCTATAGAATGACATGGAGGAACCACTAAAATTCAAATGCTGAAAGTATAAAGAAAGCCTAAAACAGACTCAACTATAAAACTTAAACAGAAGTTTTAATTTTTTTAATAAACAGAAGTTTTAAAAATCAGTTTCAGACGTTACAATAAATTTCTAGTTTTGATTTGATTGAATTTGTACTTTCACTATTTGTTTTCGGATGATTTTTTTTTAGAGAAAATGACTAAAATGATCCCCTTTTTTGTTAATTATAATGAAAAATAATTGACTAAACAAATCCCTTGACTCTTTATGAAAGATCAAAATGATCCCCAACTATATTAAAGAATCACTTTGGTCCCTCAACTCCTTAAAAATAAACCAAAATACTCCCACCATGTGGGACTATTTTGATTCATTTTTAAAGACTTGAGAGACCAAAATAGTTCTTTAATAAAGTTGGGGATCATTTTGATCTTTGATAAAGAGTCAAGGAACCATTTGTCATTTTCCTTTTTTTTTTAACTATCAATAATTATATGCAAACACCTAAAATATTCTACGATAAAAGTTATAATTATTCTAACTTCTACGAAGTCGATGGAATTATTGATATAAATAATTAACTTCAAGCTATTTCTTGGTTAAATTACAAAAATAAAATATATCTTTATAATAAATTGACATGGTAGATAGGAGATGAACCGCAACTGCAGTAACATATGTCTATTTCTTGTTCTTGAATAAGGTGTAAATTTGGAGTTGTGGGCAGTATTAAGCAAGTATCTAGTGGCAAGCGAATATGGAATTTCATCCCAAAGCTGCCTGGCAATAGGCCTTTAATGGCCAATATTACCAAAATTCAAAGAAGCCAAAAGGTATTGGACAAAACCTAGATGAAAATTTAATCTTAAATTAAGGCCTCTCAACTATAAATAAGTTAAGTTTCACATAGCTTTTTAATGAAATGAATATAAAAGCGGCAATTCCAGATAGCTTAAGGTAACGTAAGGCAACTTTGAGGCATCAACACCTAATATCTTCGAAAAACATAAAACAAACGAGTACATTAAATTATACAAGGAACCTTACGATGCAATCAGCATGCATGTTATACCAAGAAGCTGCAACCTTTGCCTTTCGATATAGTTTTGAGAAAGAAAGCAATCAATGACAGAAACAGTAAGATAAAGTGTATCGGGAACAAGCCTATACTCCTCAGCAACCTGAAAACGAAAAATAGAGTATCAGCAATTTCCCGACACAGGAAAAGTAAACAAGGTTAGCATTCGTGAATCGTACAGTTTAAGTATACAGAGCAAATAATAGATCAGTAATAAGTATTATTTACACAAAAAAAATAGAAAACTGATGTTAGTTAAAAAAAATGATGTCTTTGATCATTACACAACAAATTCTTAGTTATTGACTCAATATATAACATGAATTAAATGGCGAGGAAAGGTTCAGGCTTCTTTGCTAAAATCTGAAAAAGGGTTAGCTAATGTGTTAAGTATTGATTAAGTATTCATGGATCGCCTGATGAGGTAAGCACCAAGCTCCTTGAGGGAAAGCTTTAAAAGTTAAAGAAAAGGATCAAAATGATCCATTGACTCTTTATGAAAAATCAAATTAGTCTCAAACTGTATTAAAATACTTTTGATCACTTAACTCTTTAAAAAGGATTCCTTTTTAAGTACTTGAGGGACAAAAATGACCATTTAATATAGTTGTGATCATTTTGATCCTTCATAAAAAGTTAAGGGATCATTTTGATACTTTTCTCCTTAAAAATAATTAGATGATTTTATAAAAGTTAGGTAGCTTTGCCCTGTGTTGATGACTATATGATTTGATATATGAAAGCTTAATTCCCATGAAAGTATGAGATAATTTTGAATTTTTTATGAAGGATATGAGGAAAAAAAAGAGTGGGGAAGGAAAAAAAAAAAGACAAGGAAATCACAAGCAATATCAATTTCAAGAGGTGAAAGTCTCATCACTACAAACCAATATCAATTTTAGATTTTTTTTTGTATCTTAGTTATATTCTTTTACTCGTCTTGAGTGACTTGAAGCCTCTTTTTTATTTATTGAGCAAGATCGTACATATGTTTCCGGAAGAGCTGGTGAGTGACCTTTTATTATAAAACATGAATATGGCTACTTAGTTAATAGATCAAATCCTCTCTCCTCTCCCATGAAAAGCTAAGCCAAAAAAGTTTGTGTTCTTTTTTTTTGTTTGATCATTTTATAATTAGTTTGTGATTCATCGTTCTTGCTCTTATGCTGCTGCATCCATAACATAGAATTAGGCATACTCTTCCCCTAACAACTAGTACCAAAGTAGGGGATTTTAAGGCATAAAATGATCATAAAGTTTTCAAGATCAAGAAGGTTAATGGCTCAAAGATTTATAGCCATGGAGAACCAAGATACGTAGTATTTAGTTCAGAAAAAAAAACAACTATAACAGGTTTGTGGCTTAAGTTGGATAGTTTAAGTAATTACACAGGGCCAAAAGCCTCTCCAATAAACTCTATTCAAATCAAAGACTCTACATGCTTTGTATGAAAAACAGTATGCCAATTAAATCGATAGAAAATATACAACCATCGAATAATGGCTTAACTGCGACATGGAAAAAGTTACGAGGAGAGAAGCATGAAAAACTTTTCATTAATTGCTTGGTAGAGCTGTAAGAACCGGTTGGTCCGGTTCAGCTAAACCGGACCATTTCAATAAATTGGGCAGGCGTGAGCGAGATCGCGAGCTTAGGCAAGCACAAGCGACGGTTCGTTCATGCTAATGTGCGAAATAGTGCATTTGAAAATGAAAAACGACGACTCCTTATGTTTGATAATTTTGTCTCGCTCCTATTTCACCCCACGAATAGAAAAGTCTTTGAGCAAGAGAAGGTTGACTGAGAGGAATAAGGGAAGTAAGGGAAAAAAAAAAAGAAATAAAGAAAGGGAGAAAGGAAGAGAGGCTTACAAGCAAGCTACAAGGAGGAAGCGATTTCAACGGGAAGGAACAGTGTGCGTGTGGTTTAAGGTTTGGAGAAAAGGAAGAAGGTAAACTTTTATTATTTTTCTAAAATTGTTAATATATGTATGCATTTAGAAAATGAATAAACTTAATATTTATATGTTAATTATTATGAATTTAATTAACAAGAATATATAATTTGGGAGAAAATATAGGTATTTTAAAAGGAGACTTGTATTATATATATTTTGTAATATTAAATTTAAAATATCTTAATATAATAATATTTAAATTCTTCACAATTAAGTTCATAAATCATTCATATGGCTCTTTCATTACGATTCACATTCCTAAGATACTCTTTAGGCTCTAATATCGCTTTTGTCACGACCCGTCCTGGTGACTCGAATTAACGAGGCAGGAACATAGGTTAGACGATGATTTAAATTTTTATTTGCTAAATCCATTTCAATAATCTGAAAGAGCAACTAAAACTTCAAAAAAATATAAATTAATTTAAAATGAATTAGATACCTTTCATTTGGTGAGTCACGTATAAGGTACACATTTTCACATCTTATACTCATTTTGATTATATTAAATTATACTTGAAAATATTATAGCAACTGAAAGTAAGCTACAACTATGCGAGTAAATATGTTTCTAAATTACAACAATATGCATGAACATTTCAATTCATATCATAAGTAATTTTATTTAGATTTATTTCATTTCAAGACTTTCAATATTATGCATCATTTAGGATGCTAAAGTCATTAAAATCAACCGCCTTCTCATAATCTTCATTGAAGAGTTTATAAAAATACCTCATTCACCTTTGTTGAATATCTTCTTTCTAATAAAAGCACTTTTTGATTTTTATCCTAAATACACTTCACTTAAACTAAATCCTTACTATGCTTATCTTTGTGTTTGACTAACTTATACATATATCTTTCACCCTCAGTATTTAATCATTTATATAAATCATTAAAAGCTAAAATCTTTACATCGCATATTGCTTTCTTACACTCTATATGGGCATCTTTTATCTTTCCAATTATCAGAATTTTTACATCTAAACAAATTTTTATAACAATTCTTCTTATTTTTTTTAAATTCTTTCTTTACTAGATTTAAATGAGAATTTGACTTTTAACCGGAAAAAATGGCGAAAAAGGATTCATGTAGCCGACCCCACTTAGTGGGACAAAGGCTTAATGTTGTTGTTGTAAAACTTTTTAATTTTGCCACCAACTATTTTTACTATTAGTAGCTTTTCCCTTTGATAATCCAAGCACATTTTTTTGCAACATTCTTAATATCACTAGTTACTTTTTCCCACATAATATTAGCTTATTCATGCACATACACAATTTTAAGATCTAGCATCTTACTCTTAAAAATATTTTTATTAATATTCTTAAAATGTCCTATTCTAATCCTAGAACAACATTTTACTTTATTTGTTATTTTCTACTCCTTTATCTTAAATTCAAAAACTAATAAGTGATGCTGAGCACATAAACTTTCACTTGGAATAACTTTACAATTTTTGCAACATAAATGATCTATTTTTCTTACAATAAAATAATCAATCTGAGTTTTAATATATCCATTCTTATAAGTGATGAGATGCTCACCTCTTTTTTTAAATAAGATATTAACATTTACAAAATCATAAGCTAAAAAAAATCTAATATGATCTTACCACATTTATTAGTCGCTCCAAAGTTATTTATCTCTCTACCACAATGTCCATTTAAATCTCCTCCAATAATTTTTTTTCTTCAAATGGTATCTTTTGTATTAATTTTTCTAAGTTATTCTAAAATTTTAATTTTGAACTCATATCCAAAACTATTTAAGGAGCATAAACGCTTATAATATTAATAATTTTAGCATCAACAACAATATTTTAAGCTATAATTTTATCTTCAATTATGTTAATTTTGACAACATTATCCTTCAAACTCTTATCTATAATCACAGCTACATCATTTTTAATATCACTCAAATTAAAATACCATAGTTTAAATCCTAAACTATTAATCTTCTTAGCCTTCTCTCCAACCCATTTAATTTCCTAACTGCATAAAATGTTTATCTTCCTATGAATCATAATATTTATTAATTCCATTAATTTGCATGTAAAGGAATCTCTATTCCAAGTTCCTATCCTAATTTAGTTTCATGAACTAACTTCTTTGGCTACATCCACCCACGATGTAGGAATTATTTATTAAACACTGGACCCGGGAGTCAGTGCAGCGGCCCTTGCACACTTATCGTTGTATTTAGGCTATACAGTGCGTCGCTTCCAGGGAATGCCCTAGCATTAACAAAATGTATTAAATGATTCATGTCATGATTATTCATTAAGTTTTATGCTGGTTGTCGACAACCTAACGCAACCCTTCACTTTTCTCATCTAGGACTTGAGACTTGGAATTGGAGCTACTTGGAAAACAAGACATAATATTCAGTTGCCTCCATCTTTTCCAAATGGAGATACCAAGGTTGGTGCACCTTTGACTTGCAACGGTGAAATGAATTCTGATCCCCCCCCCTAACCATAAGTTCATGCAAAAGCCCTGAATTTCATTTTCTAAACGCACTGTCCCGCTAGTGAATAGGATTTTATTCGTTAATGATAAATCTATGAATGCGTAGTAATGATTTACCTCCTCATATTTAGATATTTTTCCTTTGATTGTCATGAATCATAATGTATATAAAAAACTAAATGTATTAATTAAAAGAATAATTAAACATAAACAAACTCAATTTATCACACTCTAATAAATAAAAATTATTAATTGATTTAAATTAAATAAATTAACAATATAACCTAAATGAATTAAATTAAATAGGCAAAATAAAATTAATAAAATTCTAAAATAAAATTAAATAATTAAACTTAAATGATTATATCACATTAATTAAGCATTAGATAAAACCAAATAAAACATTAAAATTTTAAATAAAGTAAATAGAAATCCATTAATAATGATCTAATTTTAATCATCTCAAATGAAATAAGATTGCATCATTAATATAATTCAATTTGATATAATTAAATGAATTCATAATTAAATGTTAAAAATTTGATTAAAAGGCCCTTATGCATTATGTTTGATTCATTTGGAGGGCATAATAACATTGGATTTATGGGTATTTAATAAAGTTTCAATTTAGATTGTTTACTAGGGCCACTGGTTCTAGTTCTATGTTAGAG